CAAACCAGTTAATCTTAACTATGAACTGGTCAGAAACATCAGATAGATATAGATCTATGGGGTAGACATTTTCTTGACCTTTCTATTTCATAGTATCCGTGTGTTCCATCTGAATTAGCCTTAAGACATGAGTTTGTAAAGATGTACAAAGTTTCTGTACCTGTTTTGCTCTTGGCTCTGCTGCCAGGACTCGTCTTTTTCATCTTGTCGAACACACTGCTGCCGCGGGGCGTCTCAGTGGGCGTCTTGGGCTGGGAGGACACCTAAAGATGTGGGTGGGAAGACACATGGTTCAAACTCTACATACCAAACCAGGTTGGAAATGGACCTGTCGCAACAAAAATCAAGGCAATCAGAGATGGCAAGCCTCAACTCTTACCCATTCTGATTTGCAACATTCCAGTCCCAAGACAAGAACAGCAGTATGGAAGATGTATAGCAATGTTACATTGTGCGTATTGGGAATACAATAATAGGAAACACACAAGAAGACAAACAAACAAAAAATAATACTTCGCTCCCTTAGCGTAAAGAAAAAGTATCATCTGAAACACAAAGCAAACCACCTTGAAAGGATTTTTCCTCTCCTGAGTCAGTGAGAGTGACGTCTTTGGGTATATCGACTTTGTATTTTTAGTGAGAATGGGAGCTGATCTTCTACTGCTGTCTGCCTCCTCCTCCTCCTGCTCTTCCCCATCATCCATTTCCTCCTCCTCCTGCTGGACCTGTTGTTGCCGTGGCGCCTGTCGGGAGCTGCCGGAGCTCCTGAGTACTGATGGCGTGCTGGGCTGGGACCACTCTGTCTCAATGTGGTTGTACCTGCCAGAAACATCAATCATCCCAGTATTCAACTAACAAGGTCACCAGTCCAGGACAAAAATCTTGTCACTTCTTCATTAGGTCAAGCCCTAACCACATATTGATTGTTGTAAAAATCCATTCATACAAAACAAAAACAATTCTGGTGTAACAAAGAAAGAAAACTAACTGAGCATCCAGGTATCCTCTGAAGTCCTGCTCCTCTTCCTCCTCCTCCTCCTCCTGCTGTTCCTCAGCCTCCTCCTCAGCCTTCCTCCTGGCCAGGTCATTCAGGAACTCTGCCAGCGCGATGCGCTTGACTCGGCTGGCGTACTTGATGGCGAAGTTGAGCCGGTTCACGTCCATCAGTTCACACAGCTCTGCAGCTCGACATTCACGGTCTGCCTTGCAGGCAAGCTGACGGCATAACCACACAGGGTCAGGTCAAAGGTTAGGGGTTGGTTCAAAGGTTGAGGGGTGGGTCAAAGATTAAGGGTTGGTTCAAAGGTTGAAGGCTGGCTTAAAGGTTGATTCGATTTTTATCTAATCAATTTAAGTGTTGCCATTTTAGTTTTACCTCATTGCCTCTCTGATTATTTTCCTGCTGCAAGCTTCAAAATCTGAGAGGCTTTACACAGGTTTCACTTGCCACTGTACAAAGGTGGACAATCAGAGGAAAAAAACAGTAACCTCTGTTGAACTGTACCTTGTTTTGAAAAGCCATTACAACTTAACAAGAGGAGAAGACTCACAGCGAAGAGCTTCATGAGCGTGTCGTCCTGTTCCCGCTGCACGTCTGCACGCGCGTGGTCATCCACCTCCCAGCCCTGCGAGCTCAGGAACTGGAAGTGCCCGCTGAACAACCGGCTTCTGATGAAGCTCTCCTACAGGAAACAAACAGACAAAAAGAAAGTAATGAGCACAGTCAGGGCTTGTGCAAAAAAAAAAATTGTGCAAAGACCTAAAGATCCTCAGGCTGTTTCATAAACTTGCAGCACACGTAGAGCATCAAGAAAAACAAGCCAGGTGTAGCGCTCACCTCTAGCTGACTCTTGTCCGTGTTCAGCTCACACAGCGGGACCTGGAAGGGCAGCACCGTGACAGCAGGGCGGGGCAGCACAGGTGGGAACGTGGAGCCTTTACATGGGATACACCTGGGCACAGGTGGTCATAAAAGTGATGTTAGTCCATGTTTTAAACACAGTAACGTTAAATGGACAAAATATACTGAGGTTCTTCTCTTACATGAGTGCAAAATGAACACTGTCTACTGGTTACTGATGCAGTTCGTGCGAGGTCTGATAGGTGTCATTCCTATACTTTAAGGATCATCCTACAGGAGGCATACAGAAAAGATGAATACCTGAGTTGTTGCGGATTCTCGTTGACTCCAACCAGCCAGTAGTTGTCTGATTTACCCTTGCACTGTGTGGAGAGGTAAACAGAAAGGAGATAAACCTGTAACTGTAACTGGGGACCATAGCCCAAAAATAACTTTTTAGGCTATGGTCATTTCTTCCCCAAGATAAACCCCAACATTTGAAATACAGATTCTACCCCCTCTGGTCCCCAATGTAGTACATTGTACACAGAAGAAACTGCCAGAAGGACTGAGAGCCAGGAATATAGCAAGAAGAAGGCAGCTTAGCAGAAGTAGTCACTATGGACAGGTGGTTACTTTATAAAAGAAACTGGTCATACAAGTACTACTTGGTCAATCTAAGGGACCACCAAATCATGGTCACAATGCCAAGTTGGTCCAAAGGTGGTCACTGGGTACAGGCTTCACTGTATCTAAAAACAGAAAGTTGTTCTCCATACGTGACTTCTAGTATTGGCGACAGGAGTCCAGCTGCAGCCCAGGCCTCTGTTCATCATCCTCACCACGCCCGAGGAGTCATAGGTCACCGGCGTGCCCTCAGCACTGAACCTGCAGAATAGGAGAACAGGCCATATTCATGTGCACACACATTCATGTACAACACTCTCATACAGATGCATACACTCACACACATACACAGAAATAAACTACAATTGTAGTCCAAAATTTGTTCTCTTATCTAGAACTATTGAAGAATAGACCTCCATAAGTATGGTAAAGGCCTGTGAATGCAAGTTGTAGTATAGCCATATAGCCAGTTTGACCCTACCCTATCCATGTGAGGGTGGATTTTGGGTTGATGGGGAGATGTCCCTCCATCACCTTCCTCCTCCTCCTGCCCATCACCTCCAGCAGCTGGGCGCCTAGCAACTGGTCTCCTGGGATACCTGGGCATGATAGATGGAGGGATACAGGGATCTAATTGTCTTCGTCAGAAGGACTATGAAATTGTCTCGCCGGAGTGTGGGGAACTGCGGATTTTGCGATATAACTCTGGAAGGCATGATTCGACGTCCATGATTTTTGGCAGGCAGATTACCATTGTTGAGGCCAAATTCAAGTACAAGTTTCGGCTTCGTGGGGGGTCCGTGCGTCACGTTAGTGCACCTTTTGTGTTTGTGGCTTGTTAGCAAAATAACTCAAGTATTTGTAAAATGTTGATTATAATTCTTGGTGTGGTGCTAACTATTGTCGGGACCAAGGTTAAGTTCGTTACTGAGCTTCGTGGGGGGTTTCGTTGTGACTACAGGGGGCATTTTGTTAATTTTTCTTGTGAGCAGGATAACTTCTGTATGTGTGGATGGAAGTTAATGAAATTTGATAGGCATGTTACTGTGGTGATCTCCAAGATTGAGTTCAAAGATGAGAGTCGTGGAGATCGTTATGTCCCCGTAATAGGACCTTTTGTGTTTAGAAATCCCCCACCTACATCTGCTTGGAGACAGCCGACAGCTGGATATAGCCGTTACCGCCGGGGAACCCCATAATGGGATGGGATCAAATGACGTTACATTGAGGGATTGTACTATAACTTCAGCAGGGGGAGGATAGGTTGGACATATGTCAGATTATTTTCTACGGCCACACCAAGTAATTGCTATGGATGACGTCCACTGGAGACCTTAAATCTAATTACCTTAAATTTAAGGCAAGCGCGCAATAAAAACACGAATGGCCGAAAAAC